ATAGGAAACATCAAAAATATAAAGTTTAATACAGAAATATTTTTCATTTTGCATAATGCTAATCTACCAAACCAGGAAACCTTTAATTTCTGATAATCTTTTATCTGTCCAGTTATCTCTTTTTTCAGTCTATCCAAATTTATTTTAATTATATATTGTAAATTCCAGGTAATATTAATCCCTAACTATTTAATAAGATTTCCCATTTTTCCTTCAAATATTTTCATTCTTCTTTTCTCCTCATCCAACTGGTTTAACAATAAACATTCTGACTTTCCCCAATTTACTTTTAATCCCGTTATATCCTTGAATTCCTCCAAATGTGATTTAAGCCTCTCTGTTGTTTCTACTGGATTTTTAACTATTAATAATGTGTCATCAGCAAACAAGTTTTTATCTTATCATTTTCTTTATGTTCTATCCCTATAATCTGTTTATTATCTCTAATTATCTGTGCCAGTAATTCTATTATCAGTGTAAATAATACTGGAGATAAGGGGCAACCTTGTCTTGTACCACAGTCTAGGTGTATCATCTCAGTTATGCCATTATTAACTATTGCTCTAGCTGTATTCTGTGAATATACAGTGGTGCCTCGCAAGACGATTGTGTCGCATGACGACGAATTCGCTTTACAATGAGGTTTTCGGAGCGATCTTGTGCTTCGTTTAGCTATGTTTCCTATAGGTGATTTTTGGTTTACGATATTAGGGACCTTGCCTCGCAAGACGGTTAAATTTTAGGTTCCTGTTTTTCGCTTTACGATGTTTTTGATAGCTTGATCTTGCTTCGCTATACGAGTCTTTTAATGGTCTCTGTTTGTTAGACGGCTGTCTTCGCTTGGGAACCGCGTTTCGCTTAACGATGTTTCCTATGGCAATTTTCGCTTTACGATAACAATCCGTTCCCATTGGAATGGATTATCAGGTTTTCAATGCATTTCAATGGGAAAACGTGTTTCGCAAGACAATGTTTTCACTTAACAGTGATTTTCACAGAACGAATTAACATTGTCTTGCGAGGCACCACTGTAATTGGTGAATTATCTGCCTGAAATTAGGTCCAAACCCTAAATATTTAATTAAAAGCTTTAACATACCCCATTCCACTGAATCAAAGGCTTTAAACATATCTAGCGATAGTACTCCAGCTTTAGAATTAGTTTCTTTAGCTAAATGAATTAAATTAAGTACCCTTATCATTAAATCTGACATTTGTCTATCTTGTATAAATCAATTTTGATCTTTTTCAATATAACTCCCCATAAAATTATTTAATTTCGTTGCCATTTTTGCCGTGAATATTAGCATCTTGATTTATCAGTGATATGGGTCTATATGCTTCCATAGTTATTGGATTTTCATCAGGTTTCAATATTAAGACAATCAATGAGTCTTTCCAAGATTGATTCCTTCTCCCATTAATATCTTATTAAATAATACTTTTAACTTTGGTATGAGAGTCTTTTTAAATACTTTATAATATTCTGGGCCTAATCCATCTGTTCTGGGTGTCTTTCCTATCTTTAAGTTATTTATACTATCCTCTATTTTTAAATCAGTAATTAACTGTTGCATTTTATTTTTATCATCATCTGACAGTTTTTTTATTAAAATTATTTTTATATAATTTTTAATTTTCATTATAAAAGGATTTTTACTAGTATATAGTTTTCTAAAATATTTGAACTGCTTCCAATTTCTCCTTCAATTTTCATTATATGATTTTACTAGTATATAAAGTTTTATAAAATAGATGAAATGCTTCCAGTTTCTACTTCATTCTATTACATCTTTTTCCATTCAACTCTTGAATTACTCCTGTATTACCTTTATTCTTTTTTATAGAAGATGCTTTAGCTAATAACTTGGAGTTCCTATTACTAAATTCAAAAAATTCTCTTATTAAATAAATTAAATTTCTTTGCACTTTTTTCAGATGAATCCTTTCCAATTCCTTCCTTTTTTGTAATTCTATTATAGCTTGCTTATCTCTAGTTCTTATAACAATTTTTTTCTAATTCATTTATATTCTAAATCCTGTATTATTTCCCCCCGCTGTTTTTAAAGTATATAAGACGCTTTACATGCATACCCTCTTGCCTCAGACTTTGTAGTGTCTCAGATTATCTTAGATTGCCCTCTTCCATTCTCATTTATTTCCCATGTCTCTTCTAAATTATTTTTGAAACGTTTCAATGAGGTTTGGATACCGAAAGATATTCGTATAAATTTTCCACCTTGCCGCCTCCTTATTATCACATTTAACCATCAATTCCATGTTCACTCTGGCATGATCCAATATTTGAATGACTTCAATAGCTGTATCATTTACTCTTGGCAGTAAATCTTTAGAGACAAATATATAATCTATTCTTGAATATGTATTATGCACCTGTGAGTAGAAGGAGAACTTTCTTTCTTCACCCTTTAATTCTCTCCAAGCGTCTTTCAAATCTGCTTTGTTAATCAGTCTATTTAATATTGTACATTTAATTTTCCCTTCCCCAATTTGCAATTTTGATTTATCTTTCTCATATCCATTACCATATTAAAATCTCTTGCTACTATCACGGAAGCTTTCCTCAGTTTATCTGCCCTTCGTAATATATTTTCAAAAAATTCTTCCTGTATCTCATTGGGTGCATAAACATTCACAAATGTAAAGTCTTCTCCTTTCATTTTACCATGCAAAATCAAATATCTGCCTTGGGTATCTTTTTCCATTTTTGTCTAATTTAAATTCACATTTTGTTGATATTAATATTGCTACTCCCTGAGATTTTGAAGTCCCAAATGATTTTTCATAAATTTGAATCTATTTGCCTTTCAGTTCATTAAAACCCTCCTTTTTGGTGAGTTTCTTGCAAGAATACAATATTTATATTACTTTTATTCAGTACTGAATAAAGGGAGTAAAATATTTTAAATGAAGCAATTCATAAAGTAAAAATATTTCAGTGTTGATTAGCACATGCAAATGCCCCTTGAAAGGAGAAAACATCCTCCCCAAAGAAGTGGCATTACCAGTAGCGATAGGGTCAGAAAGAGATGGGTGGGCTAGAAGTGTCCACAGTTATTACTGTATACTCGTTAGAAGGGAACCAAGTAAAGGGCAATTAGCACAGGATGTGATAGTATAACACTGAGCTCTCTTCCCCACTGTGTTTTTTAAAATTCATTAATTTTCATGTGTTACCTGATTACATTAAGCTGCTTTATATTGAATTAGACTATTGGCCCATCTATGTAAGAACATAAGAAGAAACCTGCTGGATCAGACCAACAGCTGTTTAGCCCAGTGTTCTTCAGCCACTGTAAATCAGATGGCTATGGGAAACTTGCTAGCAGATCATGACCACAACAGCACTTTCTTGCTTTTGTCTCCTGAAACTGATATACAGATAGATACTGCATCTGATATTCGAGACAATATATAGCTGTCATCATGACTGGTAGCCATTGATTTGTCTTATCCCCTATCTAGCCCCATATTGTTGACTCTGACAAGTAGCAGCTGCCCAGGGTCTCAGGTGGAAGTATTTCATATCAGTGTCTACTTGATCCTTTTAGTTTGAGATGCTGAACCTAAAACCTGCTATGCACAAAACATGTGCTTAGCAACTGAGCTATGGTCCCTTGATCCCCCAAAATACAGGGGCTATTCTGAAGCATCACAGTTGGTGCCATTTTAGGTTTTGGCTTTCCCTTCTAGTTGGAAGCATCACTTTCTATATGACGTTTTAATGCAAACTTCAGAGTATTAGCTTGTCCCATGACTCTTGAGTCTCCTCTGGATATAAACCCACTAGTCCTTAGGCTACCCAGTGTGGTATAGTGGATTGAGTGATGAACTAGGAATCAAGAGACCCTCCTCAGCCATGGAAACTAATGGGGTGGATGGGGTGTGAAAATATCTCACTTACCTTGAATGGATTTGATTCCCTCCTCATCCATGGAAACTAATGGGGTGGATGGGGGTGTGAAAATATCTCACTTACCTTGAAAGCCTTATTAGGATACTGTAGTTGTAAATCAGTTCCAGTCTCACAACATATAATATACACAGCAGTCCTTGTGCTGGTACAGGTTTGCTAGGCTGCAGTTCAGCAACATCTGGAGGGCCAACATGTTTGCCTTCTGACTGTGCTACCTAGTCTGGAAAAGTCATTTGCTAATTAAGGGGAGAGAGTAAAGTCTTGTGCATTTGAATCTATTTTTGTTGCATTCCATTTTGCTTTGTTTTATTAATGTTTAGGTTCTCCTTTCTAAAGCCACATTGACCTATCTTAGTGTTAGGAATTTTTCCAAAAGGACAGTTCCATTCTGTATCAAAATACTGTTCTTGTTTTAATCTGTTAGCAGCAAGCAAGAAAAATGCTACTGAAAATTGTATTTAGGATTGGGATGAACGATAAAAGTATCGCTACTAACTATGACACATTTATTTCTCCACATATGGACAATATCTCAACATCCCGAAATTTAAGGAAAATCATTGAGATGGTGTGCTGGAACTGTATGTTTATTTCACAGAAATTAATCATGCTGAAATATCCTGTGAAATGCAAAGAGTGAGAGATAATGTGCAAATATATGCTTGACAGAAAAATGCAATTTTATGCCTCCATGACCCAACTTTGCTATTTATAGTGGGCACATGAGCTTTGACACATAGAAAGACAACAACAACTCTGCTTCCAAGTGTTTTCCTGTCCATTTCAAATGAGGGGAGAGATCAATTTGCTCTCTTTATTGGAATACATATATGGAGATGTTCCCTTGCACTAAAGCAACCAAGGATTCATACTAACATGTGCTGTATATGTGCACCATAGTAGACATGCATAGCCTTCCGTTGGGGTCCAGTGTGCTTTATGTGTACAAACCTATCCACATAGAGAACTTGACCATGAACTGATTTGATGCACTTATCTGAAAAAGGCTTAGCATTTCAGATTTCCTTTCATGTTAAGTCCTGTTCTCTACTTTGTTTTGCAGGTGATGACTGCAATGACCATTGTAACTTGGCTCATGGCAGCTGTGAAGAAAATGGCAAATGCAGGTAAAACAACACTTTGACATAGCTGAATAAAAGGTGGCAGTGGGGGAGACATATGTTCAATAGCTGCCTTGGGCAGGACTCAAAAGCCCAAACCCCATCACCATCATCTCATCACGGCAGGAAAAACATATCTCCTCCCTGGAGAAAGGTGATGCCAACAGAACACCCCTGCCTGGAAGAAGATGAATTTTGTGTTTATCAAGTTGGCCTGCTGCATTTCTCACATTTGACATTCTATCTGTTAAGTTATTTTACTTGCACTCCACAAAAGGTTATGTACATGATTATACCCACATAATATTTATGATGATGTACACAAGGGACTTTTTCTCACCTGTTTGTGGGACCTAGATCTCTTCATTTAGTGATTCCTCTTGCAGTTATGCAAAGAAGCACTAGGAGGTGGGCTATCTGACTGCCAAGGATAAGGACTTTTACAGAACTGCTGTACCTTTCTCTTACTCATTTGTAATTATCCTTATTGTGAGGTTTTAAATAGCCTTTAATTATATTCTATTTTTAATAAGAAAGCTGGTTTAATTATGTCAAATATTATTAATTTATTTAATTTTCCACCAATGTGCTTTAGTTGTTAAAGTGATGGACTTTAACTACTGAGTTAGAAGACCTGAGTTCACACGCACGCACGCACTCAGTTGCACATACTTAAAAAAAAAAAACTACACAGCAAGCTATCCTGCATCCCAGAGGAAAGATGAGACATTTAACTCAATCAATCAACCTGCACTCATTTTGGCTAGTAGGAATGTGCAATTCTACTTGGTATCAAGACTATACCTATCTTAAGGGAGTGGCAGGTTAGCAAAACTCCTTCTCACATGTTCAAAGAAAATCACACCCGTTAAGCCTGAGGGTAGTCTTTTTGGAATGGAATAACTAATTGCTAACTAAATAAAGAAGTTGCATTTGATTTAGTATCAGTTAATGGGATAGGCAGGAATGGGATTTATTTAGTTTGTATCCTGCCAACACTTGTGGGTCCCCACCTAAGGCCTATCCTGTAGCTTCACCCAAGGTAGTTTCTAACCCCATTCCTTTCCCCAATAGCCCCCCCCCGCAGCCCCACAGCCCTCTATTGCAGAGGTTTTGGACATAGGAATGTGGAACCAGGAACAGAGAAATCACTCTTATCCTAGATCTGCTGGAAACACTTCAGTGGATCACACTGGTCCATTTTTTCTCCTTCAATATTTTCTCTACTTCTCTACTTATATTTAGAAGGGGAATAATTATTTTGGATTTTGTGTACTTATTTAATGTTATAGTCACTAAAATGTTAAGCCACCATATGCTACTTTTATTGCCCAGACCTATGCAGATTTCCTTCAAGTTCAATTAGACTAAGCTACGAGAAAACATGTATAGGATTGATTGTAACTTTAAAATAATATTGTCCTAATACCTCTTCCAATAGGTCGGTGTCCTTTTGAACTTTTGTCCCCTCAGCATAGTAATGTAGGATTGCACCACTTGCCTAAGCTGAGCAGATGGCAGGTTTTCTTTATGGAAATCCCTGCTTGTACAGTGCAAAGACTTGCACAAGCATTGTGATTTTGCATTAATATAATAATTAATATAATAATATAATGTGGAAGACTCATTCTTCTGTAGGGCCTCTACTTATTCCACATTATTTATTCACACTGAGAGACTCATTGTCCAAGGCTTCACTCTCTGTAATTGGAGACAGCCCTTGATAGTTGGTAATGCTCATCATGAAAATGCTGATACTCAATGGTTCATCTCTAGTTTGGCATCCTCCTCAAAGCAAGTCTTTCTTGTTATGGGCTCCATATCCTTTTCACTTGCTTGCTATTCGTTTCTGTACGAATTCTCCTCATGTTATTATGACACACCTCTCCACATGCTACACGCAAAAAAGCCAGTACTTGTCAGTTCCCACCGAAGTCCTAACTCAGGAACTGCTCTTGAATCTGCAACATTACCTCCCAGTTTTTCCCCCCAAGCAATACGGCGGTGGCTTTTTCTCCTCCTGACGTTTCTGTTTCCTCTGGTAGGTGTGACCCAGGCTGGGATGGGATATACTGCGAGCAGTGTGTGAGGATGCCAGGCTGTATCCATGGGACATGCCATCAGCCCTGGCAGTGCATCTGTCAAAGTGGTTGGGCTGGTAAATTCTGTGACAAAGGTAAGTCACCCTCATTGGGAAAGCATTGGGGAAGCCTTAAGTAAAGTCTGAACTGAGAAAGGGGGATACAGTGTGACAGGCTGCAGCTATAAAATGAAGCTATCTCATGGCTGCAGCTATAAAATGAAGCTATCTCATACCACATCCGAGCAGTGAGTCTGTAAAACTCAGTATTGTCTACAGTACATACCTGGATTGGTGACAGCTCCTCAGCATTGCTGTTAAGGTCTTTCTTTGCCTGATGTGGACCCGAACCTTCTATATACAAAACATGTACTTATCGCTGTCCTGCCGTCTTTTTAAACATCACAGTCTAAATGAACAGTATCAGCAATTCAGTCTGAGCAGAAGAGCCAAACACAATAGGATAAGCAGTTTCTCGTTTTCTGTTATGAAACCTAATCTGGAGAAAACAATTGCTTGCAGTTGTTACCTGTCTTGACCTTCATCCTTTTTATAAATTTGTCGGGCTGGTCTGCCTTTTTGGCTATCAATTTTATGGGCTCATGAATAAGAATGAGCACCTTTAATTGGGCTGAGAAACAAATTAATAATTGTTGAAGGGCAAGATGTAGGTCTCACTTGTATATTTTGCATGGGCTGAAGTCTCTGAGCACTCTTCAAGAGCAGCCCTGCTTGCAGTACACTGTAGCAGACTATATGGGGAATGACTTTAGAAATGGCCTTGGGAACCACATATGGTCCAGAGGTTATATGATTCCCAATCCTGCCTTAAAAATTCTTTAGATAAGAGTATCTCAAAGGATGTAGCTTTAATCATCCCCGCATGACAAGCAGCAACTGTCTATATCACCATTTTAAGCAGTAGAAGAGGCTATAGCTCAGTAGTACATCACATACTTTGCATCCAGAAAGTCATAGCTTCAATCTGAGATGTTTCCAGATTTAAAGATCAGAGGTAAGGTCATGGGAAGAACCTTTTTCTTCCTGAGACTTTGGAGCATCACAGCTACTAAAAGCAGTAAGGCATCATCTTATGTTCCTATACACCAAGGGGAGGCTGAAAGTAGATCTGAATCTGCTGGTAGATTTGTGGGGAATTTGCAGTAGACGGATATGCATTTTTAACTCCTAATTATTTAACAAAAGACAGTAACCTAATTATTTAACAAAAGGCCACTCATTATTACACTGTTCCAGTAAAGAGAGGCTGATATAATACTGTGTGTGACAGTATTGTTATTAACATTAGTTCTGGTATTCTAATCTAATTGCATGTCTTTTTGTGCTAGCCCCAGTTGGTGGTTCTTGGAGTTCTAGTGGAAAATAGCTTAAGTGCTCTAAGCATGAAGGCAACTCAACACTGCTGTAAAAGAGCTTAGCCTTTCTTTGTATATTGTTGCTCTATGCCATTGTTTTAATATATAATCTCTGGCATTGCTATAAATATAATACAGATATATTTTTAAAAATCAATTCTCTTCAGCCTTGTGCTTTTGTCTGGCATGAGAAACCTGCTGTACACTGAATATCTGTTACACATGCATGCTGCAGGAGCTGTAGTCTAAAAATAGTTTTTCTATGCTCTGGAGTATATTTGGTACTATCATCTCCTCCTTTTTCCTTTGCTTTTTCCAGATGTGCACATCTGTGAGCATCAGACTCCATGCCAGAATGGAGCCCAGTGTATCTACGACCGTGATGGAGAATATTCCTGCCTGTGCCTTGAAGGGTTCCATGGAAAGGACTGTGAGCTGAAGACAGGGCCATGTGAGAAGGCAGGGTGAGATATCTTAGGAAAAATAGATGGAAGCAGGCAGAAAGATTGCACAAGGTCAGGTCACAGTAAATTCTACCACTTGAAGAAAACATTGTTTAGTCTACATCAACTGTGGCTAGTTATGTCTCTCTTCTGTAGCCTCCTCAAAAATATAAATTAAATGTCTGTTTTTAATAATAATAAGATCAAAAATGGAACTTTAAAATTTATCTTGTTAGGCTTGAATTTCCCCAACAGAATATAGAATACAGTCAGTTAAATAGTACAATTAACTTATACTTGATCTTTTACTTCAGGTTTCCATGCAAGAATGGTGGACTATGTCAAGATAATAATGGCTTTGCAAGCAACTATACATGCAAGTGCCTAGCGGGATTCATTGGTGAACACTGCGAGATTGATGTTGATGATTGCCTCATGCAACCCTGTGCCAATGGTGCCACCTGCCTTGATGGCTTGAACCGTTTTTCCTGCCAGTGCCAGGCTGGCTTTGAAGGGCGTTTTTGCACCATAAATATTGACGATTGTGCCAGCCAACCGTGCAGAAATGGGGCCAAGTGCTACGACCGCATCAGTGATTTTGACTGCTTGTGTCCCGAGGGCTATGTTGGTAAAACATGTGAATTCCTTGCTCCAGAGCCAACGTGGATCACCACATTTCAGCCTGACCAAAAGGAGCACAATGTGGCTGTGACCAGCAGCAACCCTTGGACAACCCAGTCTGAGCCAGTTAGGGCTGTGGTCACTGGGAAACGCATCACTAACTACAGTGAGAAATCGAATGGGGGAGGGCTTCTTATCTCCGTGAAGGAGGTGGTGACTCAAAAGGACTCAGGGCTCAGTCAATCACAGCTGATCTTAGTGCTTGTGTTTGGGCTCCTCACTGCCCTTTCAGTCTTGGTAACTGTGCTGCTGCTGCTGCTGAAGAACTGGCAGAGAGGGCACCAGAGGTGCCAGAGTCCATCCCAGTCTGCAAGGAAACTTCAGGACCAAGAGTGTCAGGTGGGAATGTTAAATACAGTCTTGATAGAACCCAGGAAAACAACAGAGCTGTAAGACCCCACAGGTTGGAGCCTGACCACCCAATATGCACCCACCATTGATTAAGTGAATCCTTTGAGCCATGTCCTGGGGGCTGTTCTGGCTGCACATCTCCAAAACACCAAGGACTCTGAAGTGACTTAAAAGTTGTAAATCAGCAAGAAAAAGAGTCGTCCAGGAGGCAGCGAAATCTTGTTTGAAAACAAGAGTCCTCTAATGCATGCAGCTTAAGTCACTAGCAGGGGGACATCAACTTATCAAGGCAGCCAAGGTAATGCCGGGCGAAGAAGATAACTAGGCATTGGAAACCGCAAGCAAAATGGATGAAGATCATCCTCCAGGCACTTTTAAAGGGAGTTGCAAGAACAAGCCCAAGTGTGGCAGAATGGAAAGTAGGAGAAACTTGATGCCACCCTTAGGTATCTGATAACTCTTGGTCAGAGTCACTGGAGCGAGCAGTCATGTGGAAAATGGGGGCTCAGAAATTGCTCTGTGTATGCCCCACCTCTACAGATCTGGCATAGACAATATGGGATTCCCCTTTTTGCCTAGAGGTTCTCAGCTGAGGGCCCTGTGGTGCCATGAGTTGGTTTGATGACTATACTGATCATGTCTTGCCGCTGTGTCTTGTACTATGTCCTTTCTTCATCTTGCTGCACATGGTTGGAACTTTCAGGACAAATAACACGTCTCTTCCTGTCCTCTCCAGCCTAACACTTCATTTCTTCAGTGATGATGTCAGGAAGGAGCAAAAGGAAGCACAAAACCAGTACTGTATCAGTTTTCTGTTTCATGTAATTGATGCGAATCTTCTCACTTGCCAGAACAGGATTGGATGCATATATGAAGCCAGGAATTGTAGTCCGGCTTTTTCTGTGGTAATCCCAATTCCAAAACCTAAGTTCTCTGAGAGAACAAAATTGGAGTTGATTCCAAACCAACAGGTTACACTCTTCCTACAGAAGTAGGGTGTAGGCTGATTCCAGAAGCTGTGATAGTTTACTGGAGAGGAAAATGAAGCTGCAGACTTTTTTGAAATTCTGAAACAGAAGTATGACATTTTGAACTAGATGTACAGTTTTGAGGGTGAGAACTCTTACACCCTTATTGTGTGCTGTTTCATATACCAGTCCGCAGCCACTGGTTCCCTCAGCCATAGTTCCTTCTCTCAAGCAACAGTGAAAACTATTTTATATTGAATCAGAATATTGGTTACTTTGCTCAGTATTTTGTACACTAGGTGGCAGTGGGTTTCTAAGATTTCAGACCAGAGCCCTTCTGTTACAACCTGGAGATGGCTGGGATTGAATGTAAAGCACGCAAAATAAGTGTTCTATCACTGAGGTACAAATTCTTCCTCCCCTAACTGGTAATGAGAGTGAATATATAACAAAACAGATTTGGCTACTCCCTATTTTTGCTGATAAAGTACACTCTATTCAGTAGTGTTCCTTCACTCTGATTGTTCACATACTGTACTTTGAACTAGAGGCAGTGGTCCTGCCATCTTTTCCCATCTCCAAGTCTTTTCTCACTGGCTGAACCCTAAGGCTTTGGCTTAGGTAAAATGTCCAGACTGTTGATTCTGACTGTTATTTTTCCTCACCTCATAGTAAGAATGCACAAGTACAATAGTTCCATAGCCAAGGAACAATCAGTTGTTTGTCTGGAAATTCATGTTGAGTCAAGCAGAAGGGGGAAGGGGTGGGGGTTTTACAAGAAATATTATTTTTGTAATACACAGTTGATGAATGGTGTAACTTTATAAATAAATACAAGAATTAAAACATCAGAACCAGTGCCTTCCTGCTCCTCCATAGACCTGAGGACTGGTTCTAGATAAGGATTTGCCATGACTCATTCAGTCACATCTTACAGGAAGCCCCCACACACAATGTTATCCATTTCCTTCCATATTCTCCCATTACTAATTGAGTGAAGCCCAACTTCTTTGAGAAGGAAGCTGTCTTCACAGATATAGGTGCCTTCAGCTCTACTCTGGTGTCTTAAAAAAGGAATGGTTTGAGAGTGCCCTGTTGGTTGGGTGAACCTATTGTGTCTCAGCACACATTCAATATTATTCTTGTGGTGCAAACTGTTTTATTTCCCATTTGTTTTATTTCATTTTTAATCTTTTGAACATTGTGTAGCTATGTAAAAAATTAAATATCAAGTTACCACTTAAATGAAAATGTTATAGCACCATATATAATGCAATACATATGTTTTTAAATGGGGGAAGTTCCTGTTTACCATCATTTTCACAAATTGTTTAATGGCAGTGCTCATAAAGATTAATTCAGTGTTTTTAAAAATCAGTGATATAGGAATAGAAGATTATAGCTTTATAATTAAACTTCAGAGAAGAAGCATTCCAAGATATTGTTGGATATCTTACCATGTTAGCTAAGGCTGATGAGAGTTGCTATAGTGATGTACCTCTATAAAGCCAATAAATAATTTTTGATAGCCATTACCATTTTCTGCACTAATTGCCTTGCAAAATGGCAGTAGCTGGAAAGGGTGTTTTAATTTTTGTAGCTACCATTATTTAGCTTCACTATAAAGCTATAACACATTGGCTTTAAAGCTACTTTAAAGAAAAATATATATTATAGAGATTTAGTGCAATGGCTTTATATTGCTGATAAACAAAAATTCTTTCAAAACCCTTTTCCAGTCCATTCCCTATTAATCATCTTCCTAAATATCAGAAATATTTAAAACAATATGTACACACATTATGTATATTGCACTGTAGATTCCTACACTAAGACTTGTTCAGTTAAGTGGTATTTTGCTGTCTTAATATTTAAATATATATGAGTTTGCACATTGGGTGTTTTAACACTACTTTAAAATTCTATTTAAAAATAAGGAAGTGATTAAAAAGCACCCATTATAAAGACTAGTGAATATGTGTTGAGTTGTAATGTCTTCAGCTGCTGGATATGTCACTATCATCCATATCAAAATGATACCGCCTTTTAAAGATAGGAGGATAGTTGTGGTTCTGTCCAGCAGCAGCCAGGCCCATGAGGTCCCCTTCTTCCATATTTTGTTCTTCATTCAAACAATCTTTCTTCATAAACAGACAACTTCTCAACAGGATTAACTTCCAACAAACTTGAACTAATTACTGAGGCTTTCCAGCTTAACCCGAGTCTTTTATCGCAGCCATTCTCATTTATAAGGTCGAGTGTGTGAAGAATTGTTTTCAGTCTATGGTCCTCTTCAAATGGGCGAGGGCGCATTTGAACCCTGTGCCGTGGCTGGAGCACTCAAGAGGATTACATTCCTGGAGCCAGCATCACCTCTTTCCTTTCTCTCTCATCCCAATAAGCTGCCTAGAGTGGTTGAAATGACTAGATAGGCGGGGTATAAATACAATAAATAATAAATAAATAAATAAATTCCTGGGGGTGGGGGGTTGGTGATTCCAATGTCTTTCTGCCTCAGCATTTGGGACTCTAAAAGAGACAATCTCCCTAGTCCATGAAGTCTCCTTCAACACATATTCCCACCCACCCCTCTGATTTTTCTCTGATGACTTTCTACCTGTGCTAGGCAAGTCTCTTCCCTGGTTCCTCCCTCAGTTTTCTTCCTCCTATACTGTCCCTTCTGCTGAGCTGTCTTCCCACTTTTCTCTTTCTCCTCCTTTTTCTACCTCCTCCTCTTTTATAGTTTTTTCCCATTTCCCCCCTTCCTTTTCTAGGGGCAATCTGTCTTTTGCAGGCTTTCCTTATCTTTTGAGGTCTCCTCATTTCCTGGGCTTCCTACCTCCTCTGGGTACTCGTAGTAAATCACATTTCCCCCTAAGTCAATTGGAGAGTTTGAAGTTTGAAAACCTGTCTTCATTTCCTGGGCTTCCTACCTAAGTCCATTGGAGAGTTTGAAGTTTGAAAACCTGTCTTGGGGGAGAAGCGTGAAAGCCAGGCAACGGTGGCTTTACTGCCATGTCTCCCTTCTCACGGTAGTACTCAAGGGACTAATGCAGATGAAATAAAGCTGGGAAAACATTACTTTTTTAAAATCACACCTCCCAGAATCCCATAGTCAGCATGGTTAATAATTATTGGAATGGAAGAAAACAAGATGTACATAGAGCAGATTAACATTATCTCCAGATGGTGTCACAGATCAGTTGTAATTCTGATAACATTGTGGAGAACAGAGGCCATGGGAAGAGCTGTCACTTCCACACACAGACAGTTGTAGATTTTTCCCCTCAAAAGTGTTTTTCATGAGATCTGTGCTGTAGATTAAACTGATGAAAAGATTGACTTCGCATAAGGCCATCCAGTCTGAACAATATCTGAGCACAAAATATGAAGCTGCTTTTCACTGCAATAAAACCCAAACATAATCTTCATGACTCAGAATGCATCTGTACTACACAGTTATAGCACATGCAGGCCAACAATTCTGCTGCTTAGTGTAGGGTTTCCATCACAGTAGTAAATTGCACTCCAAACCCAAACATAATCTTGACTCAGAATGCATCTATACTACACAGTTATAGCACATGCAGGTCAAAAATTCTGCTGCTTAGTGCAGGGTTTCCATCACAGTAGTAAATTGCACTAGAGTAGATTCATTGAATCAATAGGGATTTGGTAAGTCAACACCATCCATAAATTTCATTTATTCAAATAGACCTTCTCTAGCTGCAACTTATCACAATATATCACAGTTAGATTAGCCCATTTGAATCAATGGAATTTAGAGGAGTTTACTTCCTAAATCCCTATTGATTAAGTAGGTCTACTGTAGTACAATTTACTACACTAAGGAACAGGATTTTGACCACTGTATTCCAGAGTACTGAAAATTATACCAGCTTCAGCAACTTCAATAATGTCCATGGCAGGTTGGAAGGTGATCAGATCAAGGGCTTGGGAACAACACAAATGGATCATACCTGCCAAATGAGGGGGTCCCAGGTCTTTTTCCACTCCCTGCAATCTTGGCATAAATGGCAAACAACTGTTTACATTTAGATGCTTTGATCTGCCAAATAAAATAGAGCTACTTATGCAGTTACAGCTGAGTTTTGGTAGGACATATTCTTCCTGCTGACTCCTGCTTATACATTAGGCCCTGATTAATAGCCATCTTGCACTCTCTAAATAGAAACAGAAATAATTAGTTGCTGAAGGGAGGTGATTGGGCTATGTCCGCTGGGAATGTTTCTTCTTCTTGCATGCAGAGAATGTGTTCAATATAGCATCGCAGCAAAGAAAAAGATTAAATACATTCTTGGTTCAAATTTCACCTCAGCATGAACTCATTACATTATGGCTTAACTCAAGCCCCTTGCCTACAGCAGATGTTTATTGTCAGGATTACTGAAGTAATATAAGTGAAGCACTTTGAACACTTAAAAATTTCACTCCTAGTACCATGGCAAGCACTGATGACATGATTTAAAATCCAGAAGGCCAATTCAAAGTCCCATATAGTCAGTGGGGCTAATGAATCCCTTTCCTGCTCTCAGAATTTCTGGCTGCTCACAAGCTAATCACTGAAATCTGCATGACTTTCCAAATTAGTTTCCACAGTATCACAAGAAGCTGTCCTCAATGAGAAAGTGAGAGGTTGTAATATGCATGTTTAAAGTAGTTTTCTCAGTAACAGCCTATGTCTAAAGAACTACAGTATCCTAGACAGATAAGAAGCATGATACTCCATACTACTGTGCAGTTTTTCTTCTGTATTGGCTTATTTTGCATCTTTTCTTCTTCAGAGATGTTGAGAGCTCTATGCTTCATTGCTCTTCTCAAGAAATCGTGCTTGAGCTGGTTTGTGAAAGTCTGCCACTTCTTACTTCCACATTTTTCGTAAATGCTTTCAAAAAACAAAACAAAAAAAAACCAAACCAAAAACAAAAACCCTTAAGTCTTGGAGTCTGTATCCAGTTCCACAACCTGCCTTTTATGGAGGAAATACAATATACTGTGGTATTATATACTGCTTATAAAGACTGACTGAATTTTGGAGCAATGGGTACTTTCATTCTCTTAAGAAATTTACAGCCTCAAGGAACAAACAAAAGGAGACAACAGAGGCTGTTTGAGGCATTCATGTTATGTGCTGGCAAGTCACCTCTGACAGTGACACTCTGAATTAGTAGCCTTCATATGTCCTATCATTCACAGCTCTTCTCGGCTCCTGCAAACTTAGGGCTGTGGTTTCCTTTGTGAAATCAATCCATCTAACATTTGGTCTTCCTTTTTTTCCTGCTTTCAACTTTTCCTAGCATTTCCTAGCATCTTTCCTAGTCAGTATTCTCTTTTCATGATGTGCCCAAAGTTTTGCACCATCAGTTTCATTACATTTACTTCTAGAGAGACTTCAGGCTTGATTTGAACTAGTACCCACATGTCTTTATGGCAGTCCATGCTTTCTCCAAAGGTCTCCTCTAGTACCATATTTCAAACAAATCAGCTTTTCCCATCAGCTTTCTTCACTGCTCAGCTTTGATATCTGTACATAGTAAGTGGGAATACAGTAGCATGGATTATCTTTGCCTTCATTTCCAATGACCTGTCCTTACACTTTATGCTCTTTTCTAGGCTTCATTGCTGCCCTTCCAAGTCTCAGACTCCTTATTTCTTGGCTACAGTCTTCATTTGGAGAGATGGTTGAAGTGAAGTATAGAAAACCTTTAATTAAATTTCTTCATCTCAGCATTGAAGTTATGTAGTTCTTCTGTAGCCATGATTTTTGTCTTCTTAATGTTCATTTGCAGTCCTGCGTTTGAACTTTCTTCTTTTACTTTCATTAGATTTTCAAGTCACTGCGGATTTCTATCAGTAATATGGTATCATCTGCATATCTTAAATTATTAATCTTTCTTTTACCAATTTTACTTGTTTTCATTTGAATCTAATCCATATTTCCACATGTTCTGTCTACATATTGAAAAACAGAGAAACAAAGTACACTCTTATTAGACACCTTTGACTATGGGAAACCATTCTGGTTTTCTATATTGTCCTAACATTAGTTTCTTGTCTGCAATACATGTTACGCATCAGGACAGTCAAGTCCTGACGTACACCGATTGCTCTTAGAAGACACTACAGCTTGTCATAATCTGCACAAATGATTTGTTGTACTCTATTAATCTGAAATTATTTGATATTCTTCAGTAGCCAATGTATATTTGCAATATAATCTCTAGCTCCTTTTCTTTTTCGGAATCCAGCTTTTCTCTTTAGTCTAGAGAAAAGCCACCTGAGGGGGGA